TCCTCCAGCGGGACGCCGTTCGCCGGCAGCGTCAGATTGGCGCTCACGTCGGGCGTGCTGTCCAGCTCACACTGCGAAACGACCGCACACGGAGATGAAGCGTATGGCCCTGCACAGGATGTTGAGGCAAAGTGCTGTTCGGCGGGCACTTACCACGGCTTGGTGCAGCGCATGGAAGAGCTGTGTGGCCAGCGACCGCGTTCGACCGCCTTTGGTTTACCTCCGGTGGTGATGTTTATACATCGCACAAGGTACAAATTTAGGGCAGAGTCGACCGAAAAGAGACCCGCCATCATTTAAGAAATCAGCCACCGATTGTCTGGGTCAGTGACCTGAAAAATAAATACACACCTGGTGCACCACATCTAATATACCTTCTCCCTATGGCTGTGGCTGCTAGTCACGTGGCACCTACTGCAGTCTTCCAGGGACCCGGAGAATATTCAGTGAAAAATTAGGCGCCAGCTGTAGCTTAGGAACATTTGACAGTGAGGAGCCATTAAGCGAGGCACATAGCAGTACAATGTTGTTGAAGCACAATTAGGTGTGTTTTTCTCTGGATTAGAAACACGACAGACATAAACATGAGACAGCATATACGGTTGATGGACAAGACTGGTGATGGAACAGCAGCTAGGTGCACTCGAAAGGATGACCAACGTGGAAATTGAGCATCAAGATTAGCTCATGTGGAGGAGTGAGATGGATTGTGTGGCATCACGTAATAATGAGGAATGGAAAAAATATGGGGATGCCTTCATACAGTGATGGATAGACAATAACCAACGATGATGTTGATGAGAAATGCCTTGCGCGCCAAGCTGTGTAGGTTAAGAATTACAAAAGAAAACTTGAGTTTGGCACAGTTTGTCATATAACTTACACCGGGCGGTAAATCACAAGCCATTATCGGGAGCGCCGCTCGGCTCACCTTGCACTCAACGGATCCGTACACCTCCCAGACGTCGGGCACGTCCCTGCGCCCGTACTGCACGGAGCGCACCACCTCTGCCACGCTCATCCGCACGAGCGGCTTCACTCGCTGAGCGCACAGGGGCCGCCATGCCGGGGCAGGCCGCTGCTGCTGCTGCTCTGACGTTCCGCTGCTGCCAGACGGTGTGGCCAGCTCCCGCAGCAGCACTCTGAAGTCGGTTTCGGCCGGGCGGCCAAACGGGCAGGCGTACATCATGAGCGTGCTGAACTGGGCAACCTGTTGGTAACAAATGGGATTGGCACAAAACTTGGTTGTGGCCGAAGGACAAGATTGGTGATGGAATGGTGGCCAAAGTGAGGGTTGTGTCCTCGAGGGCAACCACTGTGGAGATGGAGCAATGCAATCAGTTCATAAAGAATGGTGGCAGCACTGGAATGTGAGCGTTGAAGATGGCATGATGAGGCCTTCATCCAGCAGTGGATGATGATAATCATGATATCTCTTTATCATTTTTCGGTCCCACACTGGATGTGGTTTTACCTTGGCATCAACAGCCCCTGGCTTTGACTGCTGCTGATCCACCATGAAGGCAGCCATGCCCTGCAGGAGGGCCAGGCCCTGAGGGACCCCGAGAATCATCCCCAGGGGTGGCCGGGGCTCCAGGGGTCCCTCGACGAGGGGCAGGCACACGAGATGCCACTCGGGGGTGGCACGCGTCACGAGCAGGGGCCACGCGCTCTGCCCGTGCACTGAGGCCACCAAGCCCGCGTGGAACAAGCCAACGCCGCAGTCATCCACGTCGTCGCTGCAGCAGTCCGGATCGTCGATGTCATCATCACTATCGCCACTGTGGTGGTGGTGATTGCGGGAGCGTTTATTGTTGCCGATTAAGCGGAGGAGCTCTTCGTGTGTGGGTGCCGGAGAGTAGGAGTGTCCGTTGAGGCGCCTGGCTTGGGCCTCCACTGTGGGATAGCGTCTGTGTGAAAACAGTCAAACACATAGGCTTTCGCGACCAATATTATTCATAATAAAGGTTTTTGGGTTAGATCGCGCAAGTATAAATGTGTCATAATCCTCCACCACCCGACACAGTAAGGAAGGTTTGTCACATAAACAAAGCGCGTCAATTAGTTACTACTTCAGCCGACCGGTGGATTTACGACAACATTATGGATTTTTGTTTACATGACAAACCAGTGTCGGGTGGTGGAGGGTTACAACACATCTATACTTACGCGATCTAACCCAAAAACCTTTGTTATGGACACAAACATGTCTCGTATACAAACATATAAAAGGGTCAAGGTGCAGCCCCTGCAATTGCTTGCGGCATTCCACGACTAGCGCAAGGGCCGCCAAATACAGGGGAGCCCCAGATAGCTCCTCCAGAGGGCATTTCGCCTCCTCGTCCAAACTGGCTAGAGACGTCTTATATCAAAGACGGATCTGAAAATAAATATTCTCACGACTCCCACTCGAGATCAGTCCATTGTCTAGTGATGCCACCATCGACCAGTGTGTATGATATTACACCCTTAAACAAAGCGTCTTCATGATAACTATAGTACAGGTACAACATTGGAGGAGCGGTGGCACAGTGGTTAGCGTACTGCACTATCAACCTGGCCACCTGAGTTAGATTCCCGGTCAAGGCTAACAACGTTGGCCAAGTGATAACACATCTTAAGCAACCCACAGCGTCGCGCTTGGTGAAGTATGGTTAAACAATAAGCATTCATCCAGTAGCGGATGGCCAAAGGGTTGCAAATGATCATTAAATTTTTATGAACTATGTCATCATGGTGCTATTATTGCCCGAAACGTAGCCCAATATGTATATATTGTTTTAATCTAAGGCAGTATTGTTGACAATTGTGTTTTATTTAAATCACGCCATGCAGCTGATGTTAAACAATATCCAGCACTCATCTTCCGCTTCAGGAAGGAATATTTAACAAACACATCCTGAAGCAGGAGAATAGTGCCGACCAGGGACATTTGCAACTTTGATCATGACCTGTGTAGTATCGATCGTGCAATGCTAATGTGCCATTGTATCGAGGGACTCCTACTGTGTGGCGTTATCTTGGCGTGGTCTGGGATTGTTTGATTGGTGCTGTATGCTGCCTTGCCCAACCTTAATACATCTGACTTATGAATACATAACGAATGCGTTAATTATATATTTCGTGACTTGTTTATCATGTTCTCTATTTTGCACTGTCGTCTTGTTTGCTGCTGCTGCTGTAATTGTCCGACCCCTGTGCCCATATTTGGCACACCGGTGATTTAAAAACCACCACCGCCAACGAGCTTCACAGCTCATCGGATTCCTCCCCGCAAGTCTAAAACAAACAAAAAAAGATTCCGAGCACAAAACCCAAGGAGAGCACGCTGCTCGACACAATGCGGAGGGGGAAGAGTCTCTCGCTCGCTCGCCTCGAGTATCGGACGCGCGCCTCCTCGCCGCGCGCCTTGCGGGAGACAACCCAGAGCGCTCGGACGCTCATCTTGACCACTCGCGATGTTACTGCCCTCGGCAAGAAGCGTCACCGCGGCGGCGGCGGCGACTACAAACGACGGCGGCGATCGTTGTAGCCGCTTCGGCAGACGTTCCCACAGAGTCGCTCCTTCGGCAGAAGTCCCCACAGAGTCGCCCCTTCGGCAGACGTTCCCACAGAGTCGCCCCTTCAGCAAAAGTCCCCACAGAGTCGCCCCTTCGGCAGACGTTCCCACAGAGTCGCCCCTTCAGCAGACGTCTTCACAAAGTCGCCCCTTCGGCAGACGTCTTCACAAAGTCGTCCCTTCGGCAGACGTCCCCACAGAGTCGCCCCTTCGGTAGACGTCTTCACAAAGTCGCCCTTCGGGAGAAGTCCCCACAGAGTCGCCCCTTCGGCATCGCCGGAAGTGGGGCGGCAAACCTCCCCACGTGCTCGTGACGCCTCACGCGGCACCAGCTCTCGATTGGCTGACGCGAATTTTTTTTATTTTCTTTTTCTTTAACCGATTCGCAAAGCCGATTCCATTTCTAAGCAGTAGGGTTTTGTTTTTGTATTATCTGTGTACAGAACTGGATCATTGATGTGCAGCGTTGTGGGATGCAATAGCATTAATGACGCTGTATACAATGAAATAATTATTATCCTGGAAAGACTAAATATCCCAACTCCATAATTTCTGTCAGCTCTCCCTTTCTTATCACCCCACAGAGTCCAACACAGTATCACAACTTATTTCCCTCCATTCCGTCTCCAATCCAATGAGGGTTTGATTCGCCAGACACATTCCATGCGTCGTATGCGCCAGCAATCAAATGCAGAAGGCGTCCTGTTCGTGCCCAGTGATCACGTTTACTATTCTCTACCCCTTTCACCTACTCAGCCAATACCAGGGAGGAGTTTAAATGATAAGAATGCAGTGGCTGAAATATTGCTGAATGACTAAATAATCGTGCCTGTTTATAAGCAGGGTCTTGGGTCTGGGGGTCCTGGTTATCCATGAACCGTCGGTTCTCGCGGTACCGTCCAGGGTCCCGGGGTCAAGCCTGGTTCCCAGTCAGCCGAGGTCAATAAAAACTAGGCAGTGTCCCGTAACAATGTTCAACACTTGCTAGTTCCCTGCCTTGGTCAAACCCGGAGAGGCGTCAACCCGAAGTGCCAAACTAATACTCGGCGTCGTACAAATAATAATTTACAGATACTTGATGAAGTCCTCCCAAACGCGGTGCCATTTATTGGGGTTGTTTGATTGAACTTCACCATGCTGGTCAGGGAGGGTTGGTAAGGTGCCAGGGGGCTTTGGCAACGGCTGGTTATGTTTCACCACGCCACGATGTAGCAGTCATATCGGAGGGTCAAACTCGCTACACCAGGTTCATAGCTTAGTGCACTCACCACTGTGTCACATTGAAGCGTGGGGTTTAAATGTTGAAAGTGAAAACACATCTATATTAGCCAAGTCTTGCGTTTGGTTTATTACAATTTTACGATCCAACTTTGTAATGGCGCAACACGCACAAGGCCAGCACGGACATTCATTTTTAAAAAAAGTGGACAACTCAGCTGTCCTTTCATCACTCACCTTTATTACCAAACTGTCAACAGGTTCCAGATCACATTGACTCGCAGCAGACATTTACATTAAGCGTGTGCACTCTTCATGTTGGGATTAAATATAAAAAACACCGTGGTTCTCAGCAGTTAGGTTTCGGATATAAACGTTGCCGAACAAAATGTCGCCGAGAACACAAACAGGCTAAGCTGCACATCCAATTCAGCACGACGCTTTGGATGAGCTTAACAGTAACAATGTGCCCACAAAAGAGAGCTAAACATGCGAGGTCAACTGAAATTTCCTAACATGCCCATTTTAAAACACTTGTCTCCATTTGCCACTTCGCAAAGGGTCTTTCGATGTACAAAAACCATCGCTGGGTATGGCAACGATTGGAAAGGCATCCTGTGCCACCAATTAAATATTGAAATGTCAGAAAACAACCTCCATTCGCCTTGAAGCTGCATAATACTCGTTACCCAAATGTCTTTATTAAACAACACTTTTGGTGATACTGGGTTGGCAGCGGTGTATACAACACATTCATCAATAACACCGGTGATGTTTTTGGCAATGGCCCGTTTTCTCTGCTATGAAGAAGGGCCATTACACAATGTATTACTGATTTAAAAAAACAAACTTTTACGGTATTTTTATAGATGGACGTGCATAGTTTTATTTGCTTATTTTATAGATGGACGTGTATAGTTTTAATTGTTTATTTTTTAATAGTTGGATGTGTTTAGTTTTAATTGTGTATTTGTTTATAGATGGCCGTGTTTAGTTTTAATTGTTTATTGGCTGATATAGAATAACGGATTGTTTTCCACACTTCCAAACTTTAAATTTTCCAATCTGTGTTCATGTCATTTTTGTAAAAAAAATAACAATCGATTTTCTGGAATTCACCGAGTCAAGGACAACAGGGCAAGAACCATTTGGCCAAACGATTTTCCCCACATAGAGGTAATGAACGCATGCAGCAGAACACTCAAACATTTAGCAAAAGCAGTACACAAAACATGACAAGTCAGACGGTCGATAACGATACAAAAACGAAACTAAAGTGCAAACTTTTAGTAAGAAGGCAGCTTTAACATCTTTAGGTGTTGTTTTAAGCCCGTGAAATATTTTCTCTAAAATGCAGGGGAGCAATTTTAAACATCGGTCCACACTCAAAGCAGCTCACAACCATTAGGAACGGCGAGAACATCCACACGATCAAGAGCGGAAGTTGAAGCAAACAAGTGGGACCCTTCTGCAGTAATAGTCAAGCCATGACAGCGGTAATGTGCATGCATCCAAAGTGCATGGTGAGTACACAGGGTGGTCCGTGTATCGATACCCCACTAAAATAAGGGAGACATCAAAGTAGAAAGTATTTTAATTCAAAGCGTCTACATGTATCCCGCCATTCTCAATACAGGTATAGCCGATACTAACACTCTCTCCTCCATGATATAGAGCAATTGGTTTCATGAACAATCAATCGCCCAGTTGATACGATGGGTTGTTGAAAATCAGTGAGGTGTCCTTAACGGCTCCGTCCGTGTGTATATCGAGCACGTACACACTATGCCATCCACGCACGCGTCTCTTTGAAGTTAACGTTGCATTAAATGAAATATTCCAAAGAGATAGCAGACATACCCTGTCAACAACTCATGCCATCAATAACAAAATGCAGTCACGAAGGGGAAAAGTCAACGGGCCAGGATGTATAAACCGACATAGTTTTAGGCTGGCACTGTTTGCTGGTAAAACTTTAACAGTTTTTGATTACGGTTGAAAACCATGAAAATAGCCCTGATGTTCAGATATGTAGTACTGTGTATATATATGCACATATACACACACACAATCAAGGACCCACTGCACAGTATTGGTCACTCCTACCCATACATATATAAATAGAAGCACTGTACCAAATTTCGACTTTCACTGCATTTGATCCAAAGTATTATAAAAATGCCCTGCATAAAGAAAAAAAACGAAATCACTCTCTTAGATTGTCACATTAAATCAGTCCACATCGACGTTGCTGCCAAACAGTCAAGGAATTGTTTTCTTTTTAAATTACAAAATTACATTACTGAAATTAATTTACAAAATGTACACCACTACACACGCAACAAAATAATTGTTACAAAAACGTTCAACAGCGGTAAACTAAAGTGATGGGTTAACCAAGTCAGGGCGATTCATACCCCAGTCTCAAGTTGCACAGAAAGTGCTGGAGCCGTTTTATTAGCAGACTAAATTTCCTTGGCGCATGTAAACCCCGGTAATTCCACAAGGTACCGCACTCTGGGCTAGCAATGGTCTACTCGAAAATTACCTTGCAATCGACAACGCTTTACAAACCACGGATATTAAAAGAGCACCAGCGGACAGCCTCCAAATGTACGAGGCCGACGAGGGTACGTGCGTCTGATATATTTTGAGCGCGCATGCAGATATAATAAAAACAGTCACAATCACTGCAATGTACAATACGTTGAAACGTACAGGCTAGTTTATTAACCCCTCCCGCCTCCCCTACTCCTTACAAACGGGTACACCGCGTGGCAGCACGAACGGGTACACCACGTGACAGCACGAACGGGCCTGCCACAGAACGTCGAACGACAGGTTGCACGTTGTGGGGTAAAGTCTAGGTACTCCCACCTCTCTTTTTTAAGACGTCTGGCCAGTGTGGAAGAGTAGGCCAAATACCCCCTGGAGGCGGCTCTCCAGAGCTCACTCAAGTGGAGGCATTCCATCGGTGGGTGGCATGAGCAAGAAATTACCTTCAGTTTTTTTTTCCAAGAAGGAACAAGTCGATGGGTGATGGCACGCTTACAAGGGTCCCCCAATGTGCGACTGGGCTTCAGAAAATAATGAGCAGGACTCAGATTGTTTGGCAGGTGATAAGCCTGGGAAAGCAGCGATTAAGGGACCCTTACGATTGAAGCACAAAGCTCCCCTGTCTTTACAAAACACCCCCCCCCCCTCCCACTATGTACCATCAGCACCCCAACAATAACAAAGTGGGTTGAAGGTCAAACGTAGACCAGCTCTATATTTTCACAGTGTAACTTATAGCTGGTGAATACTCTGTTATTAAATAAATAAACAAAATATATAATATGCAAGGACCTTTTCGATAACAGAGACACTGCGTATTGAGTCAGTGCAGTTTTTGCCTGCTTAGAGAGAGTATATGTTGCATAATCAAAGTCGAGGAATCCAGAGACGTACAATGGTTTTCAAATCTTGCCACACCACAAAATGTGGAACGGAAGCTCCACCTGCAAAGAAGAGGCTGTACGTGATGGACTCTAAATATTTGAGTACAAAAGCTTTCCAGGACACGCACGGAGTTGAATTTGGTCCTTTTGGCACTTCACCAAAATGTTACTTAACACCGAAACCCCACAAAAAGTAGAAATATTTTCACCAAAATACGAATTATATGGCTTCACTGAAATATCCGATTTGTTTTTGAACTGTGGTGTTGTCATTAAAGCAAAGGCACAAGCCACGGTATCGCGATGTTGTTGGCTTGTCTTGTAATGTCAGCCTCACTTGGCCGCTCTGATCTGTTGGTGTTGTTTTTGTCCTGTGTACCTACCCGGCCAAGAAACCTCAACCCATTCATCAATAACACCGTGGTCTTCACAGGGAAAAGGAGAATGACTGGCTCATGTTTTTGGGCAATGGCCCTTCTGCATAGCACACCACTTCTGTGACCTCTCTCCGTGCTTCGAAGGTGGGCCATTGCATGAAACGTCACTGATTATATACTTTATTTTTGTTATTGATGAATTTAGAGTATTTTGTTATTTATGCTTGTGCACCACTACCCAATAAGGCAGCATCAGCATCACCAAATGATTTGTCGACTCAATCAAAGTTGCATAAAGGACAGCCAGAAAAGCAAAAAAGAGCTTCACAGCTCATCAGATTCCTCCAGTTTAAAGCAAGATTCTGATTCTGAACACAAACCACAAACTGGCACTTCCTTGCGTGGCTGAAACAAAGAGTTACTGCCCCAACGCTGCTCCTGGCATAAAACAGAGTGATGTGAATGCAGCACCACCTATAATAATATACAGCATACTAGTCCATGCCTTAGATCATGGTCACAATACTCCAGGTAATTGCTTTAATCAACTTTATGTTGCCAACTTTTGAAAGTCCAAATGATTTATATTCTGGACTAAAAAGGTAAGAGAATGCCGATTAGTACAAAAACAGATCGCGTTATTTGTAGAAATATTACATATATTTGTGTCGGCGTGTTTACTGTAATACAACAGCATTATTGTGCTCAAACTTTAAAATAAAACATTTGCAAACATCCCCTTTGTTAACTTAAAACGTAGGGGTAGTTACTGTATGTCGTCTGCTGGAGGGTTAATGACGAGAAGTTTGGAATTAAATCACTGCGTGGCCTAAGCCAAGAACAAATATTGAGAACTGCATTGTTGTTAATACACCACGTGATACACCGTTGGTGAGGTCACGATATTGAACCTTTGAATCGCAAGTGAATGCGCTACACCCGGGGCCGGCAACCTGCGGCTCTTTAAGGACTGCTTCCTGACGTTATTTAATAAGGACCACCATCCAGTGTTCACATGCATTGCGACTCTTGAAATATGGAGTTATTTACCGAATTCGAAAAAAAATGCTATACTTGTTATTTTGGTTGCCTACCCCTGTGCTACCCTCTAAGATATGCATATTTGTTTATCTGGAATTTTACAAATGTAGATGCTTGTGTTGTAAAATCTGGCCTCGCTGAACTTGTGGCAGGTAAGTAATGAACTATATTGGGGCCATGGTCCATCTCATCTTTTTGGGGTCTGCTTTCAAGGAAATACACATGATTACATGGTAAATCTGAGAAAATTACAAGATTTTTTACATTGTTTCAGCTGTCTCCCTAACGCCTATCAACACAATGTGCAAGAGCACACTTATAGTTGAATTTGTTTTTAAACACTTTATGTATGTATGTATGATGAACTTCTTTTGCACCGATCTACAGAATTTCCACCAATGTTGATGTACCCCTTTAAGTTAAGTTATTCAAATGCATAGGTATTCGCGGATGTGTGGGATAGTTCTCCGATGCGTATTAGGGTCGTACCAAATGTTTTGATTTAAAGCTTTCGTGACTGCAGGGATTCATATTCTTGGTTCTTTTGGTAAAGTCACGTAGAAGGAAAACAATAAAATAATAAAAATTATTGTTTCCCTTCTACGTGACTTTACCGAAAGAACCAAGAATATGTAGCGAATGTTGTTCGGCACAATGTCCAACGCTTGGCTCCACATACTGGGAGCCTTTTTGGGAAATGATGAACCGAAAAAGCTCCCAGCACTCGCAGCGAACACGTAGGGCACCGTGCCCTAACAACACAATGCGGTACGTATGTATGTTGAACCTCGTTTGCACCGTATGCAGCCAACCGTGCTAATTGAAGGTGCGGTGCAAACCCGAAACCACTTCAGAGTCCCTTAATTTATTTGTTAATCACAAGCAGAATGAAAAGGTGTGGTGGCAATAATGTTCTGTACTGCGAAAAGTAAGGTCATGCATGATGAGACCATTTACACTGCCTTTCTACAATCGATGGGCATGCATACCCAATGAAAACAACAAGATTATTGTCAGTAGACGAAGTTTATCACACCTTTAATCCTTCAAATGTCCTATGAATAACTCAACAGAGATATGTCGAGGATGACTCTCCATTGCTTGTTTTTTTTTGTTTAAGCCAGCGCTTCCATTTTGATAATTATATTAAAATGTCACCAAAGTTTTAAGGCAAATGGCAAAGTTCGCCTGCTATGCTGTATAGACGAGCGTCATCTCCAATCGCTTTGAGTCTCAACTCCGATGCCATTTCACACGAAGCTGAAACACAGCTCGGTGTACGATGTCCTTTACGACAAATGACGATTATCTTTAATTTCGGGCATGCATAATCACGCGCGCACCAGCGGTGCCCAAATCGAAAAGGTGTCTCCTTGCGACCGGAGTTTCACTGGGCACTCACCTGCTCATAAATACAGCTTTCATAACGAACGAGTTAATTAATTACAGCACGGCAATTTGTTTTAACGGTCTCCAGGGTCTCCCTTGCATCTGGAACAACACGTGGAAGTCTCGCCGGGCCATCACAGTTTCACAACGTACGATCGAACGAACAAACGAAAATGAAACCAAGGCTGCTTTCCTCTTGGCCGGCGCATTAACAAAGCAGCAACGGGAAAATCTTTTTGGGCGACGGACGGCGTTAGATGGTCATGTGGAACGAGTCTGTGAGCCATGCGCCCCGGAGACCCATCGCCGACGACGAGAATCCGGAGTGCGCAGCCGGCGACGAAGGAGGCGTCATCGCCGACGTCGCAGCGCTGGACGAGGAGGGGGACGGGTGGGAGAGGGAGCCGCCCGGCGACGGACGGTCCAGCTCGAAGTCGTCGTCGAAGCAGCCGTTCATGTCGAGCGAGGAGAGCGGTGCGTCGGGCGTGGAGGCGGGGCCGCACGGCCCCAGGTCCTGCACCAGCCCCTTGTACTCCTGGATGCCTTCATGCAGCGACCACAGCTGGCACAGCAGGGACATGTCCAGCTGGCGCAGGCCCAGCTGTGCAGGGGGACACAATCGGGACGGGGTTAATGGCTCACGGTCTCAGTGGAGTTTCACTAAAATACAGTGATGTCAAATTGCCAATGCTTGTTAAACGAGGCGAGTAAGCGGACAATGCCTCCTTCAATTCAACAAAAGCATTCAGCACACATCCCATTAGCCACCACGGCCTTATGGGAGTACAGAATATTCAGCAGCATTGGTTTGAAGCTAACTCTCATCAGCAGACCAAGGCTTCCTTAAACCAGTGCTGGTGAAATTCCAGATGTACACAGCATAGGCAAATTCCTGTAGAGTACAGTCAAAATAATCATCAGCCATGATTCATCCGCTGCTAGATTTGGTCTGCTTGAGTCGTCGCAATCTATCACGGTCTCATGTAAGTATGTACTGTATGTTTAATTTATTTTGCACCGTACGTAGCCAACCACACGAATCAGAGGTGGAAGGACAAGAAACTTAACACAAAAAGCAGTTCTAAACAAACTAGTTTTCAATCTAGGCGATTTCAAAGTTCATAGCTCCCTGCGACTTCCTAATATCGGAAGAAAGAACGTTCCAGACGGCCGCAGGAGCGCATCTGAAAGCGCGTGATGCAGTGACCGTCTTTGTTTGATTGGCCAGCCAAAAGCCGCTGCTGCGAGAGGCGGCCATCTGGAACTCTCTTCCTGCTGATATTAGGAAGCCATTGGAGCTATGCAATTTTAAATCATCTAGATTGAAGACGAATTTCTTTAGAACTGCTTTTTGTGCTAAATTTGTTACAACAATCCGTTGAGCTCCTTCACAGCAGCGGATTTCAGCATGGAGAGGTGCATGCTTGGAATTACACCGAAACAGGTAGAGGAAAACGAAGGACTGGAGAACATGCACACGGAAACGACATCATATGTTGGTTGTTAAGACAACTACGTGGAAATGAGCAGAACACATCGCTAGAAAGGATGACGGGCCAGTGGTTGAGACGAACAAGACGACGTCCATCACGGAGCACAGTACAAGCTATTCGGTTGCCGCTGCAGTAGTTTTGGAAAATAAAAAAATCGTGTTTTGGTGACCGTCTGACCCCCCACGAATGCCTCTCCCTGCACACTGTGAAAACTCATTCCACTTCGGTGAGGACAATCCCCACATTAACTTCTGGAATTTAAATGTTTACAAAAAAAATTCCAACGACTCATTGCACCTCAATGAGTCCATCATGCCCACTTCAATCTGACATGATCTGCCGCTCAACCCTAGCTGTAACAAGACGCTCTGTAGATGTACACAGCCCTCTTGTCAAGCCCCTGCTGGGTGAGGGGCTCCCAACATGGGGTTTGCTTGACGACACTTCACTAAACTTCAATAACTCCTGAGGAAGGACAGTCAGCCAGATTTCAACTCGGCAACATTAAATCTATTTAAAATATATATTTTTTATTAACATGTCATTTACTGTACAGTACAGTAGCATGCTCCGCATTCCAATTTCTTCACTGACCCAGGAAATTCTTCCCGAGTATCAGGCCTTTGTTTTTTTCGCGTGAGGTCATGCTTTCGTATACAGTATTTAAAATCAAACCGGGCGATTGAATTTCTTGCACGCAGCAGACGGGAGCTTCTGGTGAACAAAAAAATATGAAATGCCGATTCGGTAACGGTCACGATGCTCTGCGAGTATCACGATGCTCTGCGGGTATCACGATGCTCTGCGGGTATCACGATGCTCTGTGGGTATCGTGATGCTCTGCGGGTATCACGATGCTCTGCGGGTATCACGATGCTCTGCGGGTATCACGATGCTCGGCGGGTATCACGATGCTCTGCGGGTATCACGATGCTCTGTGGGTATCGTGATGCGGGGAAGAAGGGAAACCTGCAGTGGGCATCGTTCGGTTTTATCAAAGACTTTGAAACGCGACAGCGCGCAGTTTGGAAGGTCGCACCTCGAGGCCTCCCGTACAGTGTAGCGTGCAGAGTGGCGCCCGTCGGGTGACACTTTCCATTTTGTGTCCCGAGAAAATTGACAGAATTCCGAAAAGTGGAGGGAAAGCCATTTGAAGTCAAGAAGAGGCCTTATGTGTGTGTGTGTCATACATTCATCTCACTTCCACTCCTGGTTTCTCTGAACCACCTTGACCCAGTACGGCTTAAAACGAAAACAACAATGATCTCCCCGATATGACGCTGCGCGTGACGTGCCTCGCGACTTATGCAGCGAAATAAAATCCGCGTAATGCGCCGTAGAATTGTTCGACCGTACTCCTTCATCCTCAATGTACCCCTAGGAATTTCTACCGAACCCTACAAATCCTCAGAATCCGGCGTAAGTTACGCGCCGCCGTCTGTTACCGGAGACGGACAGGACGGCATAATTGTGTTGGCACATGTTCCCCATGAAGAGAGGAGTTTTGTAAAACCTGCTCTGCGTGCTATGTGTATATCCGACGCACTTTTGCGCAACCACTGTTTGCCGTAACAATTAAAACCGTAAGCTCAAGTGAATGCGTTTAACTGCGGCGCGTTGGTAATCATCGTAAGTGCCGAATTTTTACGTACCGTATTTCATTATATTAATTAGAGCGAGTTGTTACATTAAGGGGCCACTTCACTGACTGGGGATGTACATTTCAGGTGCTTGAAAGATGTGCCGGTAATCGTGAGAGCAACCGTGAAGTGACTTTTTTTTTTAACTCAGGTACAGAATGTCAACCAATTAGTGCTGCCATTCAGAGAGGAATCATTTTGTCCACCTTTCTTCTTGACAAGGCAGAGACTGGGCCCATAAAACACCACACGTGGGTTGCCACCTTGAGTGAGCACGTGTGGTCTCTCATCATTGCCACCAGATGTCGGTATAAATCAATTCCTGCCACCTGAACACATATGCCGATTCCCAGACCGTCCAGGTCAAGTCCAGGAAGGCGGAGAACTCATAAGAGGGTATTTATGTCGTGGAATATTTTCGATTTCTCAAATGACACGGTTCTTTATTTTACCTCTCCTTTCTATTTGTTTCATTACTGCGCTTTTTTAAATTTGTTTAGCTTTTGTAATACTGGTGGCCCGAGTTACTCTTGCAAATGAGGCTCATGGCTGGTTTCTTGAGATCTCTCTCACCTGGTTACACAAAATCAACTTGAAACTTGAGAGTGGATTCCAGGACTGGTTCAGATTTCACTCGCTAATAATATCAGGCATAGCCGGGAATCAAACTCGGGTCATTCGTTTCAGGACGCATTGCACCAACCACGGCCACAGTATTTCAACAACAATATAATTAAAGGTTTTCATACGGTGCATATATCTTTAGCAAACAAGGTTATTACTCTACCCTGCTAGTCATGGATGCTATTAATACCAGTCTGTTGGCTAATTGGGAAGGAAACAAGTTCATGGTCACAATAAATCGTAGGAAAAAAAAAACTAATTTAAACACTAAACATTTACAGGCAGCCACCATCTCTGCATGGGCCCGCAAAAATATTCAATTGACTATACACAAATTAGAGATGCTCACAACATGTGCTTTAAGCCAAATTAAATTAGCTAAAATTAAGCATGCGTAGGGCCGATCTACCATCTGTTATCGTCGGACATGGCCACGGCCATTCAAGCTCCAAGCAACAGATTATATGACGGCATGCAGTATACACTGGTTAGCGTGCTGTGCTATGAACCTGCCAGCCTGATTTGATTACCTGACACGGCTAACATCAGTGGTGAGTGATATCTAAAACGGTGCTGCCCTCTCCCCTCCTTCACCGTTTCGCTACGACCATTGAGGTTAAGTATGGTCAAAAAGCCCAAATGACTAAAATGGAACGGTTAGGCCAACATCCAGTGGTGGATTGAGAATGGCTGGAATGTATTTTTTTTATCCTTCGCTATGCAACGTACGTTCTGCATCAATACCGCCTGGCAAAACCAAACAAACATTTTATTCCAAACAAGATGACGTTAAATTTCGATTTAAAGCTTTCGTGACTGCAGGGATTCATATTCTTGGTTCTTTCGATAAAGTCACGTAGAAGGGAAACAATAAAATATTTGTTATTATTAAACAATAAAATATTTTTTATTATTTTATTGTTTCCCTTCTACGTGACTTAACCGAAAGAACCAAGAATACAAGATGACCTTGTTGTGCATACGCAGCGGAAATGCCTCAGATATTCGAGCCGTACAAAACGAATGAGATAAATGTACAATGCGATACGATTTATTTGTTCATGGAAGATAGATAGGATGGGCAGAGGGAAGGAAGGAGGATGAGGGAGGGGAAGGCCTGTCAGACTGGAGGCTGGGTTACACAGCGGGCGAGCACGGGAAATTGCAGATTATGCCGAGTATAGCTCCTCACAGATTACAGCTGACTTCCCCTTACCCACGAACTTGAATGTTTTTCAATTGAAATGTGCACAGTGTTCGCGGTAGCACATATTGGGTGGCGAATCCATGAAACCCGAATGATGCGAGTAAAAAGTAAGTATTTATTGTACATATCCGCAAATATTACCCACAAATTCGCTCCAATTATAATCCGCAAAACAAAAAACATTTCAGATAGTCGCGGGTCAACGTGAGAATAGGGCGAGGCACGGATAATCGGAGCTTGCGCCGACCCTATAGCTCTCCCGGATAACAGGAGTTGCGGATAAGAGGAGTTGTACTGTAATATATGTGCCCCCTCTTATAAGTGCCGCGCTGGCTGAGGCGATGCACCACGGGGTCACGACCGCCGGCGAGCCAGACACGTGCCCGCACAGCCATGTCAGCGGCGGTGGCGTCTTGCAGTTGCGGGCAGGGCAAGGGTGAATGTTGTGAGATGGGGTAGGGACAGGACGGGAGTGGGGGAGGGGGTGGATCGCGTGATGTGGCAGCTGGACGCAGATGCGGGTCAGATAACAGGGCCAAACAAGAAAACCATTTACTGCAATGTGTTTATCGTGCAAACAACTGGCAGCTACCACGTGGCAGAGGACCCAAAGTTTCCGCCACCGTTCCGGCTCTGCAAGAACAAGCTCACCCGGCAGCCAAGTTAGCCGGGGCCCAGAAGCAACTCCTGCCAACGCAACGCCGCATCTCTGCTCTGTATCCTGGATGCTAATAAAAGTAATAAAAAAACCCACGTATTCTCCGTTCCTCTCTCTCTCTCCTTGTAATAGACAAGTTGACTTAAGAAAGGGAAGTGGGCTTGGGTAGGGCAAGAGGCAGAAGATGGGGTGGGCAGCCCAAGGAGGGAAACACATTGATCAATTTTATTTTTTATTTGCATTTTACTCTATTTTTGCCTACGTGATTTTACCGAAAGAACCAAAGAGTAGCGGAGGGAGACACATTTTAGCGGTCATCCATCCGCAGAGATGGGCGCGTTGAGATCCGCTCGCGTGCGTCGCAGGATCGTCGAGAGAAAGCGACGGCTTGTGGAGTCCTCCGTGGCGGAGTGGATTGCTCACGGCTACCCAGTAAACATGGAACGCTGGGCCAACGTTGAGCCAACGTTGGGCCAACGTTGAGCCAACGTTGGGACAACGATAGTCCAACGGTTCCAACTACACGCCAACGTTGGCCCAATGTTGGATGCTTATCAGGTAACGATGATAAATTAAAACCAACATTTCTGCAGATCAGTAAACGGTACTGTTTTAAGTTGTACGTAAATCTGTAAACTGAATGTCAATCAATTTTATCTGGCACAATCATTGTTTGGAAAACGACACTAAATAGGTGGTATCTTAAAAATAGCGATGTAACGATTCATTGAGTAGAATCAATAGCTATGGTCATGTTACAAACATTACAATTATGTCTAAGAAGCAAATGTATGATTTATGAAAACTAGATGCAAAATTAATCGAATGTACCCTTGAGCTGATAAGAACGAGAGAACACACTAAACTTAACGTTACAGATGGACAATATGAGACAGGCAGTACTAATGCTAAATACTGCACAAACAATACCAAAAAAATAATCTATATTTTTACGTATAATTAAAGCTCGACTCCAAATCAAGATATTTAATTGATTTACAGGTATCGCTCGCTTTACACAGGTTCAAGCTTGTGCGATTTCTATCCAAACTTCTATCAACGCGGTTTGAAATTCACTCGTACGCGGCTGCGCGGTCGTACGTAGGACACCCCTGTGTGTGTGTGTGTACTGCGTGCGCTACGCTGACTCGCCCCAACTGGACATCTGTGAAAAAAAGAGCTTTGCACATCATCGGATTTCTCCTGCAGTCCAAAATAAAGATTGCGATTCTGGCGGGCAGCCGTCTTGTGAGGGGAAACTGGTACCAGGGCATCGAATTAAAGCACGCACAATTAAAATGCGCAAGCAAGCGTGTCTCGGTTTAATGCCTGCCATTAGTCTGAGGCAGATGGAAACAGATGGAGATCAATCCACTTGCTGTTGTCCTCTCCTGGCGGGCCAGGGTATGGTGACATCGACGGCCAAAGGGGGAGTTGTTGCATGACATTTGTGCGATCCGCCAAACTCTCACTGCCACGGTGCCGGGTTATCGGCACGCCGCGCCGCCTACGACAAGCAAACAAAATAAAAACGCAGCCACTGTGCCGACGGAGGACGGGGACACTGTATGCGTTGGGGAGAGATTTCCCTAAAACCGAGACACCCCCCCCCCCCCCTAGCCACGAATTGCCGTTGTGAAACCGACACATGAAGACGTCGACACGACCGACGGCATTCACGGCCTCTTGTACATGGGACTTTTCTGCGTTATGAAACCATCGCCATTCACACCAACGCCACCAAATGACCTCCGACATTTTTTTTACTTACGAAATGACAAGGGCTGCGCACCTACATTCCAGCGGAAAAACTCAAGACACTCACGTTACCAGTGGAAGAATTTAAAATAGACTATATTACTTTTAATCAAACATAGCTGCTAACGTGTCATCTATATTTAAGAGATATGATATTACCTTGGAATATGTGAACGTAAATGAAGTCACCACTATTATTATTATTATTATCATCGCGTCCGTTATCGCCTCGGGCAAACCTCGCTGAGCCTCAACTCTTTTTTCAGGAGGGTCTTGCTAAATTATGGATAAAGTTACAGATCGATGTTAGGATTTGGAAGATGAAAACAAACAACAGATATTGCCAACTGTGGCAACAAAACAGCGGTGCTTATTGCAAGTTTTAAAATGCGTCATTATATTTCTAAACTTTATTGCCTCCCTTGTGAAATAGGCTGATCTCATTGGGCTCCTGGATGATGACAGCCTTCGTGTATGTGCGTAGGTACGCTTGTGTAAGCCCGTGTGTAGGTGAAGCGGTGGTGTAGTGGCTAACACACAGCAATGCCAACCCCCGTGAGCCGAGTTCTTTCCCCGCTCACGACGAACATCGGTGGGAAACATCGCAACAGAATGCTGGGCTTTCCCTCGCGCAACTCGGCCTTGAACAAGTGCCTGGACCGGTGCGTAAACATCAGCGAGGCAGAGACCGTGGCGGCCGGGTGCGAGCCACGCCACCGCTTCTTGAACCGTGCTGGCTTTAATTCGGTCCTCGCCGACAGCACTTGCCGCAACAATGTGCCGAGGCGAGGCCACGACGGGAGATCTTTGTCCGTAACACCTTCGCCTCCGCGTGGGAACGGGCAGAGTGCTATTACCTTCGCTGTCTCTTACATCACGTAGAGTGATATTGCCAACGCAAGCAAAAGCCCCCCTCCCCCTCCCCCCCCCCCCCCACATTTCTATAGGTGTCACGGTTTTTTATCTCCAAACAATGAACTGAAGACGATGTACACCACCATCACTACACCAGTGTCAATGCGTCTGGGGCAGCCAAAGCGTTTACAGTTGCATGCGCGCGCGCACGCACTTCCTCGGGCGCTCCGTCTGGGGGTTTTGTTCCACGCCGTGCCAACCGCCGCGAGTAAAAGGAGATCGTTTGTAAATCACCGACGAGCTCTCGAACGCTGCGGCGGCTTTAAAAGGCGATACTTTCGAGATTATTTGAACGCAGCTCCGTGGCGCATACGCGACAATGCGGTTATTGTCCGAGTGGAGAGGCCGATGTGGAAAGTGCGAATGTCCTCGAGCTGTCCGGCTGTAACAAGAGGCTTGAATCCCGCACCCTCCCACCCCCACCCCCCCCCCCCCCCGAGCTACGCGATGCCATCTGTCACCTCCGGGTTTTCCGCATCCCCAACCCTAACCCCCATCAACCACGGGCCAAGCAAAACCCATAAAGTGGCGTCTTCTTCTCGCGCAGTTCGTAAATCAAGTCGCCAAAACCAGCGCCAACTTTTCAAACGGTACTGACAATAGGTCGGACGGACGACGGACGGGACAATAAAAAGTGTTTTTTGTTGTTGTAGTTTGGGGACAAATGGAAGGAACCGCAGAGAGAGGGGAAGTCCGAACAGAGAATGGCTTGACGACATAAGAGACCGGTGCCAAAAAGATGTTGCACACCACTTGAGCACATTTGGCGCTACAAGACAGAGAAAAGTGGACAAACAACAAAAGACTAAAAATGTGCAATGGTCACCCACTAACGGGGCTATCTTTCCCATGGATCATGACGGCGGCTGATGGCGATCCACACACGGGCGCACCATCCGTGATCGGCGGGGCTGTTTTGTTGCCGCGCTCGCTACTGTACATGCCCTAATCGGTTGACCCGCGCGGCAGCTGTTGGCCTCTCACGCCGAGCGCCCTGAAACGACTGCGGCCTTCTGCCAATTGCGCTGCTGAATTATTCAGTGGCACGCTCGCACGCTCGGCTGCGTACACGCGCCCGCGGCGGTCTCTGCAATTAAAGATCAGTACCTGCGTACGATTAGGAGGGCGATTTTATTACGCACAATGGCGAATACAACGGTCTTACGTTGAGCGTTGGTGTGGCGCGTACGCACGTAAGAACCCGTTGGAGGCATTATAGCGATTGTCGGATTATTCTGAAAATCCTGTTCGTGTCAATTATATTTCCGATGATCCGAAATTGTGATGTCACCGAAAATGACTTTCATGGTGTCACATCTGTGCCTTTGCAGCCAAAAGTGGCGTCACGCGATGTCACCGTTTCCTAAATTAAAATAAAAAATATATAGTTTTTCTGCTGGATCTTTATGTCAAGATGTAAAAGTCGGGGATGAATATGAAGTTATTACATTACGTGCATAGAGAACAAAAGTTAATAGCATTTAATCAGTTTAAATAACAAAATATGAAAACATGAAATGAATCCGAAATTTGGCCTTAAAACCGGAACGTTTTGAAATGAATAAATAAATGCAGCAAAAGCAGCATGTCACATGACATCCGGTGACATCACTTTTGTCATCACGGAGTCGCATTCTATTATCACGTAATGGGAATCATCTAAACACCTGAAAGCCGAATGAATGCATGATAAGGTCATCGCGCTCATGACACACAAAGTGCTTGCCACAAATCAACCACAATATCTCGCTGATCTCGTCAAGGAGCATAAACCATCACGTGAACTCCGCTCATCCTCACAGCAGCAGCTTTTGGCTAACCATCGATCAAAGATGGTCACCGCACCGCACGCTTTGAGGTGTGCTTCAACGACCACCTGAAATGTTCTTCCTTACGATATTAGGAAGCAACTCAAGCTAAGCAATTGAAAATAATCTAGATTGAAAACTCGTTTTGTCAGAACTCCTTTTCGTGTTTAGTTTGCTGTCCTTCCCCCACGCCTCTGATTCGCACGGTTGGCTATGTACGGTGCAAAAGAAGTTCCACACACGTACATACAAAGCAATCCTGAACAAATCAAAAGGACGCGAAATCCGAAACCGATCCTCCACGTACGTACGTACCATCTCCTTGCGGAGCAGAGCCAGCGCCAACTCCATGTTGCCAGGACGTCCGGCGAGCAGGCGAGAATCTCCCGCGGCGCCACCTCCGCCGCCCCCGCCGCCACGCCGGGCACGGCTGAGGTCGTCCTGGATCATGGAGCGCTTGGTGCACATGCGCTCGAGGTCACGCCACGAGCCCCCGCTCGAGTTGAGGAGGCCGCTGAGGCTCTTGGGCAACGGGGGCAGCCCGTCGAGGCGGGCTGGCACCATCAGCTGCGGCCGGGTGCTGCGTCCGTTCATGGCGCCGCCCGGGCCTGCGGGTAGGGGCCCGCAATGCGCCCGAGTCTGCGCCCCCAGCACCACTCTGTAGAGGGAGAGGGGGAGGACGCGGCGCGTTGTTTTAACACGTCGCGCAGAACGCTCGTGAGCGTCGTCGGCCACACGACGAGAGGCTCGCTTGAGGTTCAAGCGAGCCTCTCCTCGGACGTGACCAGGTTGTCCCGCCGGGGTTTTTTTTTTTGTCCGACGTTTCGCTCCACCTGCTCGGAGCTTCTTCGCAGGCTGAAATGTCGGACATCGCGCCCAACAACAAGCGGTAACAACCACAAAACGACATTTAAGAGCTCTAGCGCACAACCGCGGAAACCTCTGAGGTATAGGGCGGTATTGTTATAGAAGTGACAAACGATTTGTGCACGTACATGTACAGTCCTTTTTGTCAATTTATTGCTGAATGAGGACTTCCCCACACCGTGTGGATCGTGGGAGTGCACAAACTTTGGAACAAAGTACCGTACAACAATGTCATCTGCTGTACTGTCCTCTGGTGACAATGTAGTCCTGCAAAGGAGTGTGCTGCGGCAGAGAGGTATAATATGTCCCTGGACGAGAAAATGTTGGATAACACTCATCTCACCTTTGGGGGTCACGAACCAGAATTGGTAATTCCACGTGCACATGGCCAGAGATAATGTCCCAGTGAACATGGAACGTTGGGCCAACAATGGTCCAACCACATGCCATGGTTGGGCCAACGTTGCACGTTTACTTGGACATCAAGAAGCCTCGTGGCTGTTGTTACGTATCAAATGGGAGCGATGGTTCACCCCTGTAATCCAGCACTTTGGAGGCAAGGGTTATTGGGTCTGAAGAGATTTTGTGAATACTAAGTCTGCTAGGCTCAGCGGTGGCCAGAAAGACATCGGTACAGTGGACCAGCCTAGGCGGAGCTTTGAGTGTTGGGATTACCACCCTATGTATGTGTGGGGTTTTCTCCAGGTACCCTCTGGTTTCCTACCAAATGCCAAATAACCTAATATGCAGGATCCTCCTGAAAAAACGATGTCTTGAGACTCAGGAGGCACTTTTCTGGATAAAAGGACATTTTTGCTACGTAATTAACATAACTGGCCTGATCGCACCTGATTGGCTCACAAGTGACGACATCACATTTATCCCTCGATTTAAGAAGGAAACAGGAGGATTTCACCACACATCTGGCTGTCGCCTCATGATGCTAGTTGTAATTACTGGCGAAACATCGTACTCGAATTGTAAATGTTGTAGATTTACTCACCAACACACCGGTGTGATGTACTCGTGACGAATTGGCCACGTTCAGTTTACGTGACAAACCTTACCAATTGGCTGTGTCGGGTGGTGGCGGGTTTAACGACACATTTATATATTTACGCGATCCAACTCAAAAACCTCTATCATGGGTGACTGATTTGCCAAGGCAAAAAAATACAAATCCTTATGCTGGATGTCAATAAAAGTAAATTTCATTGCTGTATTGATTGCCAAATGTTTCAAAATACGGAACTGTATATGGTAAAAAAAACTGTTACAGAAAATGATGGGCAAGTCGTGTGTGATGAGATAAAGTGTTACCCACACTTTATCCAAGACGTCTGGCCAGTGTGGACGTGTAGGCAAACATACCACGCTAAGAATCTTCATTTAGTTTGGAGGAATCCGACGAGCTTCAAAGCTCTTGTTTGCAGATATCCAGGGGGTTCTATAGAGTCTGGAGAGTCACTGTCCGATGGACTAGGACTCAAAAGTGCATTTTACCCACGACAATAAACACCCAAGGACAAACTTTGTACAGAGAAAGAGAAAGCCTCACGAGTCTTTGGATGGTGGTAGAGGCACAATGCACCATGCCCCATATGTACGCCGAATCCAACTGGCCGCATTCACCTGCAGTTTAACCACATTGCGCAGCTGATCGTTTTGTGTTCATGTCCCTTTGTCTCCATTGTGCATAGCAGCTGTCTGCAGCCTGCAGCCAAATGCTCATCGACTCTATAGAGTTTGGCTTCATACCAGCAGCTATATCACAGTCGTCACCTATGGACCACACAACCACGCTCTCCTACCCCCATGACCTTATATGACCATGACATGCGGTGAACTCCATAATATTTGTACGAATACACCGCACGTGAGTAAATGGTAACGGCGCAGCACTGCAATTGCTTGCTCATGCCACTGCTAGCAGAAGGGTCTCCACTACAGGGAGCTCTGAAGAGCCCCTCTCGAGGGTATTTGCCCTACTCTTCCACACACATGCACATATCCTAATAAAGTGTACAACCGGGTTACACGAATCGATGCTGTTACAATGTTGTATGACGGTGTAGGGGTGGAGCGGTGGTGCAATGGTTAGCACACAACGGTAATTGGCGAGCGACGTACGAAACGGTCCTGGGTCACCCCCTTCACAAATCCGCATCGCCCAGCGTGGTGAAGTATGGTGAAACCACTCCCATTAACAATACCTTCATCCAGCAGTGGATTGACAAATGGCTGCACATTATTATTGTTGCTATAACTACTGCGATACGACCGTAGCGCGTGTGTATGTTTTCCTATTCACATTTCATCGCATGGAACACGATACATCGGTAAAAACAGCTTCGGATTATCTGACAGCCCTGTAGTTATTAAGCAATATTTAAGTAACCGCTTTACTGTAATTGTATATCCTCCCTGGACTTACTTCCTTCCCCTCTACCTCCCTCGTCTCATGTAGCTCTATTCCTCTCTCTCTCTCTGCTCTCTGCTCCAGCAAACCAAGGCCTTGCGTCCGAACCTTCAGACAACCTCTGCTCAATGGGAGGTTGCCCCACTTCTCTGCTGCTGTCTCTCGAAGACTGAAATTCCATCTTGCTGGTTGGCAGGGCTGTTTAGAGACCCTCCCCAGTGTCCAATTCTGGCTGAAAATCATCATCATCATCATCTTCTTCGCTTCCTTTTGAATCTCCATCTGTGCAGCGTGCTTTCATTCACACATCGAGTTACCACTAATTGCACTCTTCACACTCTCGTATCTCATCCCTTATTCCTTGGCTTCAAAATAAAAAATATTATTTAAAAATCCCTCCGAGTCAAACTCTCATTTGCAGAGCATCAATTATGTCCATACACACATTTAAATACAAATTGTTAATTGTTTATTATTGTAATGAAATCGGGGGACAAATGTTCCCCTCTGCTTAATACATCAATCTCCAAATAAACAACAATGCTGGGACATTCTGCAACGTGAAAGCATTAAACTATAATAGAGTAGCGCAGAGTAATGAATACATTTGATCTACCAAGCAGAGTAATGTGCACGTGAGGTTGCCAGGAATTGGACCATATATGGTGCTACAGCGGTGGATTGTTTAATTTATTGCCGTGTGGAAGTTTTAAGCGTTACCCAACCATACGTGTGGGTTATCCCCAGGCTCTCTGGTTTCTTTCCACTTGACACTCATTCAAAGAATGTGCTCCATATCACAATGTGGCAGGACTCTCCTGGAAAAGTGTCTTGAGATTCAGGGAGGCTTTCTTTGCAAAAATAATGATGGCCATTATTATGTATAAGTGATATAATCCAAATCAGCAATTATCCATCAAACTGATGGGATGATGGCCACCGTAAGTATTTGCCATCCTGTGATGCCGCAATCATTGTCACGCCTGCACGTGAGGAGCTGATATCATCATCGCTCCATCTCCAGGGCGGTGGTCATCTTGGGTAGATTTCCTTCCTTTGGCTTCCATACCCCCAATAGTCGTGCCCACGGGCTATCATATCCACTAGCAACCCACGTGTCCTGCCCAAGATCGCTTACCTGTCTTAACAGTCAACAATGTCTCTAATTCGGGTGTGTTTTCTGACCCATGTGTTCGTCTGTCTGTGTCTCAGTGTAATTCCCAGTAAAAAAATATCTCCATGCTTCTGTGCATGCTTTTCAGGGTTTGCTTCCTTCTGTCAAATTCTATGTTTCTGATCCATATGGCAAACGTTTGACTTGAAGCACACTGTTAGGTATATTGATTTTTCATCACCACGTAAAATTTAGCAAATGCACTTCAGCCTGCTCTTCTTTGCATATTTAATGTCATTAATTTCATCCTGGTCCACATTCAATAATTGCCCAAAGTATAGATCATCAGTTGTGTTTCCAAGCAATATCCAGACATCAATGATTTACTTTTTGTCCAGCAGAAGAATTATTATGACTACTCAATCTCAACTCCATCAAAACAAGCCTCGGTTTAAAAAAAAAAATGCCTCGTGTTTTGGCATCTTTGCATCAGCTGGCACACACACACACAAACAGACAAAACAGGGCACTCTTCGGCTTGGATAGATGACAATCCATGAAAAGTGGCAAAAGAGGTTAAGGTGCGGCCCTGCAATTGCTTGCTCATGCCACTCATGGCAGAAGGGGCCTCCACTCCAGAGTATTTTACGCCTAATCTACCATGCTGCCCAGACGTATCAGAGAAGCCGTGGGAGCACAAAGACAAAGATCCACCGTATAGCCTTAAACAGAACTGTTGGGGCAAGTGCTGTCAGCGAGCACCTATGAAGGCCGGCCCGGCACACGAGGGGGTGGGTGGGTGGGTGGCACCATGCCCATGGGAGTACCCACACTTTACCCCACCACACGAGACCTGCTAATACACTCATTGAGGTGTACCCCATTCATACTGATTGTTTGAGATGTCGGGACCGGGGGAATTTAAGACTCACTGCCCCATTCCCCCGTATTTTAAAGCTATTGTTGGGGGGCTGCGTCTTATAATCCGGTAGGTGTGTGCGCTACCCAGATGTATCTACAGAACTCTCTCACCGACACGGGACACACGTTCGGAGTGAGACTTACTCTCTGGAGCGTCCTACAATCCGGTCACTCATTATCCGCGAAGCTGGCATTTCGAAGACAACCTCAATACTGTAACCACAGTAACTGCGCTATTATCCTCTTCACGTATATACCTCGATGCGAGGTGATACATACAAAGCACGTCAGTATGTTTGTTGTACACACGCCTCATCAGCCAGACGGCCTTAGGGTGTGGGTATTGCACACACACACACGCACGCAATTTCAACAGCACCGATTCTGTGGAACCGGCTTCGACGTTTCGCGTCTCATCAGCAGTCAACCAAAGCCACCGCCGGCCAAGCGCCCCCCCCCCCCCGTGAGACGCGCGAGTGTGCGTGGCTCTGTAGGGCTCTCACCGTCGTTCCCCGATCACGGTGGTCTTCGTGTCTCTCCTCGTCTCCTCCGTGTTTGCCTCCTTTTGTGTCGTCGTTGTTGTTGTTGTCCACGTGCGAGACGAAGACGGAACAGAGAGGGACCGGCTCGCCACTCCACGCCACTGGTGAGTGACAACGGTGTCGCTGATGATGGTGCCGCTGATGGTGGTGGTGGTGCTGCTGATGGTGCTGATGGTGCCGCTGATGATGGTGGTGGTGCTGGTGGTGCCGCTTATGATGGTGGTGATGCTGGTGGTGGTCGTGATGGTGCTGATGGTGGTGGTGCCGCTTATGATGATGATGGTGGTGCTGGTGGTGCCGCTTATGATGATGATGATGGTGGTGCTGGTGGTCGTGATGGTGGTGGAGCTGGTGGTGCCGCTTATGATGATGGTGGTGGTGCTGGTGCCGCTGCTGATGGTACCGCTGCTGATGGTGGTGCTGATGGTGGTGCTGATGGTGCTATCGCTGCAAATCTCGTTCACTACAAAGGGGCGACTCGCGCTGCGTTGCTGTGGCGTGGATTGTGGGAGCCGCTTGTGAATGTGGCCACGTCGTCGTCTTCGTCGTCTTCTTCTTCGTCTTCTTGTTGTTGTTGTCGTCACGAGGGCGATCGCCAAGTCAAACGCGGCTCGGAAACCCAACGACAGCTGATGGGCCCTAGGCTGGCTACTTCGTGATGAGGAGTGTGACGGGACAGACAATCAGAGAGAGACGAAGGCAGTGGGGGGAGATACGCGTACAGCAACTGAACACAAAGCTTTTGTCTTGCCCTATTCCCGCATTACAATCTACCCCTAGCCGTCAGCTTAAGAGACATTATCGTGAACGCTGGTGATGATGATGATGTTGGTGGTAACACATGGAGCATTGTAGGCACACTGAGCCACCCGCCGCTGTATCCACACAGACGACTCCCACCGCGTCTAACGGTGGAAGTGTGAGACCGAGATCACGGCAATGCCTCTCGTCTCTCTATCTCTCCCTTCTCTCTCGCTCCCCTCCTTCTCTCTCTCTCACGCCCCGCAATAAGCACACTCCAGCTGCCAACTGCTGCCCGCGATTGGATGGAAGAGCCCAGCCCGGGACGCGACGGGATAATTTCCGCCCACTTCCACGCATGGAGGAGGAGGAGCGAACGCCGTGGAAGAGAAACCAAAGGCCAGCCCCAGCCATACATTTGCATGGGTTCCATTAGCCTCCACCCCCCACTCTTGTCTGGCTCATGGGAGGGAAGCGTGTGTGGGGTGGCTGACCCTGTCCGGTCGGTCGTTGGTCATGCAGGCATTGTGGTGCTGGTGGGATTGGAATATTGGCTGCGTATGTGCAATGTAAAAAAAAGACAGAGTGGTGATGTTACTGTTGCTGCGTTGGCAGTGATGCACAAACACAAATCATTAACAAACAAAACAGAACCTCAACACACATTCGTCTGTAGCGCTGCTTTAAAAAGCAAACTACAATCTCTTCGGCCTCGCTGTGTGCTAGGAAGAAGGACCATTGCCCGAAACGTCGCCTATCGTACTTTCCCCCCCGTTTGAGACAATGTTATTGGCGAATGTCACGCGATATAGAGTTGTGGTCTACGATTAATTTCGTAATCGATTGTCTGACCGATTGTGATTTAAATTACTCACTTAATAGAATAATGGGATCCCCTATTACGAGCAAATTGGCCATTTAAAAATAAATTAAAACCATTAAATAGGATTAATTGTCTCCATAAATATGTATGTACGTTCCATATTATTTTTTATAAAGTCCATCAGCCTGTTTGCTTTCCAGACCAACATCAATTAGAAAAGTTGTTTGAGCAAGGTAACTCGATCAAATTTCGATGTAAAGCTTTCGTGACTGCTGGGATTCATCTTCTTGGTTCTTTCGGTAAAGTCACGTAGAATGGAAATAAAATAATAAAAATAAAACATAATAAAATAAAATTCTCATGACGTTTCGGCCACAACACAAGTAGCCTTCTTCACGTGAAGAAACAGAACTGTTGGGACGACAGCGCTTCAATGAACGCTGCTAAGCTTCGCAGCGTCTATTAAGCTAGGTGGGAGGAGCAGAGTGCCTTGACAAAGGAGTTTACATATCAACAGGAGAATTTAGCATTGAAATAGCTGTGTTACAGTGTTGGATTAGCAGGGTGTTAAAGTCAGAAATTAGCATGTAACTGGGAGATTAGCATGATGTTAATGTGAGGGATTAGCATGTAACTGGTTACGGAAATAGCTATGTTAAAGTCAGAGTTTACATATCAACAGATGCATTTAGTATATTGACGCTAAAGGACTGCAACTACCCAACTATCATACAATAAACCGATGTGAAAAAACTAAGTATAAACTACATCAATATAATATATGTAAGAATAATAAATGTACTCAATATATTTTTCAATAAGTTGAGCTATTAACATAAAGTAACTGATTTAAAGCTTTCGTGACTGCAAGAATTCATCTTCTTTGGTTCTTTCGGTAAAGTCATGTATAATGAGAATAAAATAATAAATTGATAAAATAAAATAACACAATAATATTCTCACGACGTTTTGGCCACAACACAAGCGGCCTTCTTCAGGTGAAGGGACGAGACTCCAGCGCTGTCCTCCAGACAGTCTCGTCCCTTCACCTGATGAAGGCCGCTTGTGTTGTGGCCGAAACGTCGTGAGAATATTATTGTTTATTTTATTTTATCAATTTATTATTTTATTCTCATTCTACGTGACTTTACCGAAAGAACCAAAGAAGATAAAGTAACTGGGTATACACTACACTATATAATGAATATCATATGGTAAACTGATAAAAGGAAACTAAAATATAAACGACATCAATGTTATCAATAAACTCAATATACTCTCCAATCAGCTGAGCTACTAACAATAAGTCGTTATACATTACAATTCTATGTCGAAAAAGGGTGGCGGTTTCAACGTTAGCACCACAGAAAGCGACGAGCTTTGTTCAGACGGACGAGTCCATCTATGCTCGGAACGGAGGAGGGGGGAGAAACAGCCACGATGCGCTGCTCTGTCCTGTGTTGCGTTACAACTATGTTATAGACTAGACTACTATACATTACAATGTAGTTTAGAGTGGAAGGTATAACATTACCTTCCACTCGAGACGGCTTTTCTTAGAGCCTAGTCTCCACTGGTGGAGACTAGGCTCTAAGAAATGCCGACTCGGGTGTGGACCAATCAAATTCAAGGACAGTGCATATTATTATCAGAGTTGTCTCTTTTGTTTGCATTTTGACTGCTTGTGTTGTGGTTATTGCAAACATGATGCCTTGAATAAAGGTGTCAGTTTTTGTGCCAGTTAAAATGGTAAAACCTATTACTATATCTTGTTACTGGCAAAGGAGGTCTCATAATGTAATAACATCCTTCCAATGATTGCTCAATTTGAATCCATCTTCTCGGTTGAAGTTATGTCTATGTTTGTATATCTGGATGGCTTCATGGACAAATCTTTGGTGGTATCCAGACGGCTTGCAAAGCACTTTGGTATCGGAGAAAACAATATCATGAGACCTCACAGCGTTGTAACAATGATCATATACGGCAGAAGAATTCGTCCTACCGTGTTTCAAATCTGACGTGTGCTCGCGAATGTGAGCATTTATAAATAACGCGATCTAACCCAAAAACCTTTATTATGAAAGTACTAAACCTCAACAATACATCATCATGCACAACAAAGCTAAAATAATATATATTAAAAAAAACTTTTTAAAAACACGCTTTTATGAAATGTACCTACCTGGCCACAAACGATAGCTCAACGAAGTAGCACATCTAGTTGAGATTCATAGCAGCCATCCAGCAGTAGATCGATCGTCACATCCTAAACATGAATGTGCTGTAGTAATGGAAGAACTCCACGACTCCAGGAAGTGGCCCCGAAGCTTGCCATAACGTTGGCAATTACAGCCAACGTCAGTTGACCGTGGACAATTATACCCATGCCGAAACATAACATAAAAAATAATGTTTAAAAATATATTTTAATTTTTTTACGATAGAATATAGTATTGTCATCAGTATGACGTAACATTGGGAAGTGGGTTAAAATTGAGTTACAAGATTTGAGGATACAACAACGACAACAACAACAGAGTGAGTTAAATAAAAGCGTGTAACATAAATGTGAGATACCTGAGGCTGTGAATCTCTGGGTGAGTCGAGTGACGTCACAGACACAAGTGAAAAACTTCGCACACACAACAGAGCACGACAACACCCAACAGCACCAGCTGTGTCCACCAACCACCAACCCACACCACCTCCACCAGTCAGACACCCACTCAATTACCACCACCACCACCACCACCCGATCACCACCAACCATCAACCCACACCACCTCCACCAGTCAGACACCCACTAAATTACCACCACCACCACCACCCAATCACCACCAACCCACACCACCTCCACCAGTCAGACACCCACTCAATTACCACCACCACCACCCGATCACCACCAACCATCAACCCACACCACCTCCACCAGTCAGACACCCCACTAAATCACCACCACCAACCACTCGATCACCACCAATCCATGTCATTTCCATCCGATTACCGCCAACCATCTCCACCACCCACTTTGGTACCACCTCCATCATACCAACAATCCACCCAATCACCACCACCACCCGACTATCCACCCCCCTACCACTAACAGTGCCACCGTGGTGCAACAGCTTCAAAGCGTTGGGAGAAGCCACCAAGCCATGCCATGCCAGGTGAGGTCAGCCCTCCACTAAATGCCCCTAAATCCAAATAAATGCTCAAATTTATCTCGATCGTAATGGGAAAAACAACAAAAAATAATAATTGCTACCCAATTTACTTTAAATGGGCGTGCGACCGTTTTAACGTTCCCCTTTTAACGCTTTTATTTCACTGCTCACTGCTGTTTGCCAACAGTGCCCGTACTCAGGGCACGCGGAGTGTTGAACGGCGGCAGCTGAATTCCGTTCCCAACCCGTGCCGCCCGCTTTAAGCTTTGGCCCGTGTCCACGGCACTTAATTCCCTGCCCGATTCACAAACATCCCGTGACAACCATCTCGACATTCGCTCGTGTAAATAATTCAGTATTTATAGCTCAACTTTGCCCGCATTTAGCCTAACTTTGGACAAACACAAGACATTTATTGCATGCAACCACGATTTTGATTTA